TTTTACTCCCTCTGCATGTAACAAATAGGGATTTTATGATTACACACCTACTTTCCCTAAAATTCACTGATACTGATACTAATTTCTTTGAAGTCGGAGACACCAATCCATCGTCCGACAAAATGAAGATAAAGGATCTTTGGCAGCCGCGCCTCCTTACGTGACGGTTTCCTTTCCCAAGATACATGTCAGCACAGAATACGGTAAAGGTTGGTCGTTCCGCTAAATGATTGATTGCGGTCATTACAATCCTGACTACAGCAACTCGAGGTCCACGTGGTCGTTAGAGTTTCTGAGCATCACTGCCACTTGTTAGTCGAAAGAGCTGCCACTTGAGAGCCATAGCCTGTTCGCCTCACTAATATTACGCGTACGACAATTTGCGTTCAGGTCAATCTCCTATTTTCTTCGACAGTGATGTTTTGCACGCAACTGCTTCACATCTAATAAATGACTCCGGACGTTTCCTGCCGTGGCAGTGAGTCTGTCGACACAGTGAGCTGACGCCTGGTGGTTACTTCCAGCCCCTGTACAACCTAAATTCCAAGTGGACTGCTAGTATCCTAGAAGCTATTCATGTATAAAAGTGCCCGCCGAAATTTGAGGCCGTTTGAATTTGGTCTTCAAGGCCGTTTTCGTATGCACGGATTGATAAAGTTGAGTGCGTAGCCATTGGCTCTTGGTACTCGTCGAATATATTTTCGTTCGTCAACCTTGTCCTCACTTTCGCTGCAAAGCGTCTTAAAGCGCCGTCAAAGTGTCCTTACGCAACTGCGTTTGCGACTGATCGTTAGCCTAGATTGGAGTTGCGTTTGCTTCCAGTGCTATCCAACTGAACAGTGCTTGCATGACTTCGGTTATCCCAAACGAGGTACGTGAGCGTTTAGGTCGTCGTTGGTGTCCTCATGAAGAAGCCGGCTAATAATTTCCTCTCAAATGATTAACAGGCGTTGAAGGACTTTCTAACGGTGTGCGGCTCAGATCTTCAGAATATGCAACTTATGTGTGGGGAAAATTGGTACATCCAGGCGCAATCCGCTAGGCTTGCAAACGGCAAACTCTTTTAAAGTCAGACATAACACGATCTCCATGTCTCTGGATCTCCTCATTGGTTCCCTCAGTCAATCGTTTCGAGTTATTCTCAGACTCTGTTCTGATATATGTCGACATTGTTAGTATATATCTTTAGTGCAGTTGGTGTGTTCGCTGGATTAGACATCCCGTAGGGTGCATATCTCGGAAATGGAGGAGGGACTTTCTTCGAAATTGCATTAAACCAATTGTGATGCTGAGGAAATGCGAGGCCGAGGTCATATACTGCGGTTGGCTGAGTAGTATCGCGCAGAGCCCTACTGGCTTTTGAAAGCGAAATGTGTTTTCAGTCTTTGGGTGCCCACATTTCTGGGTCACTGCAGTTTTGGAAATGTAGCAGGCTCTTAGTCGCATTAAACAGTACGTTTAGCATAGGTGAAGAAGAAGGTGCGAGCACCGGAACACTATATTCATGCAGGCTTCCATTGTCGGACGTAGTGACAGCAACAGAACAGGCGACAGTTATAGGGCGTGAAGTCTTATCATCGACCGACGTTGCAAGACTGCACGTGACTACGCAGGGCTCTGTACGCCGATTGACCAAATTCTCATCCGAGGTCCAGGCTTTAATCAATTCTCGACCTGTCTTGTTACCGGCGCGGGCGACTATTTCGGTGGCTCCGAAGTTAAACTCGTGACCCATTTCGTAGGTGTGGACGACTCCTTGCGATATTGCGTCGCCTCGTCTCACAACCAGCTTGTGTTCGCGTATGCGCGATCCGAACATGTGTAGTTCCCTGCGCCCTTGAGCCGTAATACGATGACTGGCCTACATACTCTATAACCCGCCTTTTCTGTTGCTGCCTCTACCTCTGACGATGGATGCCTGCACGACTCCGAAATCTCGGGACAATAAACAAAGTGTTCCGATGCTCCTCCGTTCTTTTTCACCGCACCTGAAACTTAAACTTTTGTCCTCATTTGTTAACGTTTAACATTCCTTAATTAACCTATCTATGCAGTCACCGACTCGCTGCTCTCTGGCCTTATCGTGTGGGCGAAAAGGCGGTGATCAGTCCAACAATCGGCACTACACATCGCCATAATTGCGATAAGGTCACGCTAGTCATGGCTAAATGCCTGTCTGTTGAAGAGAAAACTTAGGTGACGTGGAAAATGGTGGAAAGTAATTGGAGTTTTGCACATGCTTCTTAAAGTGGAAGGTTACTGTCGTCGTAACAGTAAGAAAGACCTATAGCTTGCCAACTACAGCTAGGATCAAGCCACCGATCACATGTGGTGTCCATATTCTCCTCCACATCCAGGGACGTTTCTTTTGTCAACGCATGATGCATAATTTCATTCGTTTTTATCATCGAATATGCAGCAGGACCCCTCGATTTTATTCTCGAACCCGTCTCTGCGTAAAATATATCAGCAGCGGAATACTGGGGATGCCGCACTCCGCATAATGCATCAGTTGTCTTTACAAGAGTGTCCATCACCAAACTCGGGATTTGTGCACGCTTCAGAGTGATGGTTCTGTGACTTTAAAATTCGGTCAGAGGTAGTGCGGTACGTGAAATAACCAAACCTCAGTCACCTGTTATACGGGTTTTTACAGGTAGAGCGTTGGCAACACACGCAAGGATGTCAAGTAGTTGCGCGCAAAATAAAAGCTATTGGGAATGTGTGGTTGTAATTTCAATGGATGAGAAATTGTTCGCTAACGCATAACCCTAACCCTAGCCCTTTACTCTAACCCTTTACCCTAAACCCCAACCAATAAACCCTCACGTATTACCAAACGCCTAATCATAACTCCTAACCATAACTCAAAACTTAACTCTTAACCCCAACCCTAACAGTATTGGAGCTATCCGGTGACGCTGCCAAACCGTATCTTACCTGAAATTCTGTCGGTTTTCAACGCTATCTTATGGGTGAGTAATTTGTTTACGGAGTTTTTCGCTGTCTTTCATCAGCGAGCAGTGTCTACGTCTTTACCCCAGCAGCCAGGAGACTGAACGTTGAATTGCCAAACAGCATCACTGCACATCATATTGTTTTACCGTTACATCACGATTATGTCGCATTTTGGAGACAATGGAGTATGCTGTCGGTAGTGTGAGTGCAGGTGCATTCCACATGTTTTCTTGCCACTTGACCAATGAAAAAAGGGCGTTATTGGGAAAAACATGGGTTCTGGTTATGCTTGTAACAAAAGCCGGTCGTTGCCGTTAAAGTTAGTGAGTTTGAACTTATTTAATGTTCACTTTCATGCATCGTGATATACCACAGGCAAACATTAAAGCCACTGTTAATGCATTTGGTCACCTGCGACTGAGCACAATGTCGCATAGCAAATATTTAGCATTTTTTCCTCTAGGGAGCACCTCTTGAAATGTGCTTTCTTATAGAACGTGGTCGATGATGTTACCAAACCATCCAGATACTTATTAAAGCCGGGGTTGTCGTTAAAAGCATTTTGTGAGCAAGGTATACTCTCTAGATGACATTTATACTTGGAGTGTTTGGCCCAATCCCCCAGTTTTGTAAGTCGTTGACATTTTAAGTATTCTCTCATGTATAGGCTACAGAAAAGCACAAATTATGTGGTTCATAGATTTAACCCCTTCTACTCCGAGATGGAAGGTATATATTAAAAATTGTCCGTAAGAGTACCATATTATTTTAATTAAAATTTTCAGCATATGGGCCTCTGTTTGTGATGGATAAAACAAGTACGCAAAAGGAATGTGCGAATATATAAAAGGATACTTAACGACCACAAAGTACTACAGTCGACATCCTGTGCAATCCCCGTTTAGAAGTAATGCGTTAAATCTCACGAACCCCTAGCCTTAAATGCAGCAACTAAAACGAAGCAGAAAATAATATAGAGATTTTGAACGTTAAGAAAACTGACAACATACCATGACAGAGGAGCACGCTAGCTAGGCGGGTTGTACAGGTGTGTCGTTTTTCGTCACATTCAAACAAACAGTGCGGTCAAAGAAAATGGGACTAAATTGTCAAAGGTAAATTAGTCATGTACCTCACTACAGTACCCCCCTTCTAGACCGGAGGGCAACGGAATACGGCGCCCGAGGATATACATAAGTCCTGAAAAATTGCCTAACTAAACGATCCGATAAATAAACGTGACGGCAACCGCGAGTGCTGTAAGCAGGAGGTACATTCGAAGAGGGTTGACTGTGTTCTATGGTGGACGATGATGTTGCAGTTGGATGCTGTTGACATGTAGGGTGAGGAAGTATGCGGTACGGAGGGGTGGAGGGCAAGGGAGGGGAAGGGCAAGGCAGTGGGCAGGGTGAATGAGCAGGGAATAGGTAAGATGGAGGAACAGGGGATAGGGTGCCAGCACTTTTTTTCATTGTGACCGGTCCGGCGGCTCCACTGCAACAGCAGCCCTGACCCAAGAGAAACTGACCACGTCTCCTTGTCACCGCGAAGAATCCGGCAGGTCTTGGCGTTGCGCTCGAGCACGCCGAACGGTCCTTCGTTGGCGATTTCAGCGGCTGGCGCACTCGGTCACAGCGGACGAACACATGAATACAGTTTTCCAAGTCTTTTTCGACATAAGAATCAGTCATTGGAGGTTGAGGTGGAACCGGGGAAAGCGAGCGCACAAATTGCCGTAAACGAAGCACAAGATTGTCAGGAGTCTCGTCGCTCCCACGAGAGGTTGGGGTGATCATCTCGCCTGGCAGTCAGACGGTAGTGCCGGAAACCAATTCAGCTGCGCTACAGCCCAGATCCGACTTCAAAGCTGTGCGGATGCCGACGAGTGCAAGTAGAAGGTTGTCCGACCAGTTTCCTGGGTCTTCTGACGGTCTTTAGCTGACGATGGAAACGTTCCACTATACCGTTGGCAGTTGAGTGGTAGGCTGTCGTCGGATGCGTGTGCAGCCAAAGAAATTGAGTATCGTTTGGAAGAGTGCCGACTAAAAATGGGCATCACGATCAATCGTAACCGTGGATGGGGCAACGAACATGGCGACACAACGACTGGCGAAGGCTTTCACGATGGATTCAGCCTGAACATTCGACAAAGGAATCGATCGACGCAGGTAAGATGGTGGGTGAAACGATTGGATGGAGGCAAGGGGCCTACGACATCCACGTGCACATGGCTGAACCATGCGACGGGTCTGGGAAAAGTTCCTGGTGGTGACTTGTTGTGACGCTGCACCTTGTTGCGCTAGCAGGTCAGACAGGACCGAGCTCATGATTTGACGTACTTGTTCATGCCAGGCAAACCTTTCCGCAAGGAGCTTTTGAGAGGCTCGGATCCCAGGGTGTGAGGGTCCATGCAGAGATTGAAATGCAGCTCGACGCATCGAGGCGGGCACGAAAGGGCGATGAAAGGGAGTTGAGACGTCACAAAGTATTGCACCAGAGCCGGTGGTCAGAGGAACGTCTTGGAGGAGGAGGCCACTAACAGACTCTTCAACAGGGCAACCCTTTCGCTGTTGCTCAGCCGCCATGACACAAAGATCGATCTCGTGTAAGAGTTAAAGGGAAGACAGTGAGCGTGTGGACAGCATATCAGCCACCTCATTCCTCGTGCCATCAATGTGGGGTATCTCGGTGGTGAATTGAGAGATGTAGTCCAGGTGGGCGATTTTCCTCGGATTGTACTCGTCGGAGTGGAAACGAAGTGCAAAAGTCAATGGTTTGTGGTCAGTGGAAACAGTGAAGTTACGACCTTCACGGTAATGCCGAAAATGCTTTACAGCCAGGTACATGGCAAGTTGTTCACGTCCAAAGGTACTGTAACGTTTCTCACCCGGTAAGAGCTTTATGGAGCAAGGTGTTGCTGAAGGACTGCACATACGACTACGGTCGAAGCATCTTCCATCAGTGACAGCTGAGCTTCGGGAGCGGGATATGCGAGTATGGTAGCATCGTCAAGGAAATTCTTGATTGTCTCATAGGCAATCAGTGTTACACCAGTCAGCTTTAAGGGACCTTTGGGACCAGAAAGCATGTTCTTGAACTGCAGCATGAGGTCAGCACAGTTCGGTAGGAACTGACGGTAAAAATTTACCATGCCGAGGAACCGCTGTAACTGACGCTTGAAAGTTGGAGGAGGAAAATTACGAAATGCTTTAACCTTGGATGGGAAAGGACGCAAAGCTTCAGAGTCGACCTTATTGCCGCGGAAATTGAGCGACGGCACATCCAACACGCACTTGGAGGGTTTGATGACAACGCCGAACTTCTCAAGGCAAGATGCTCTTTGTTTTATTCCTTATTTCGGCTGGCCACCAAGAGGCCATCAATGCAAGCGAACACAAAGGTTAGGCCGCGTAAGACATGGTCAATGAACCTCTGCAACGTTTGGAAGGCATAACGTAGACCGATCGGCATGCGGATGAACTCAAAGAGACCGAAGGGTGTGCTGACGGCGGTTTTAGGGATGTCCTCAGGGGTGACTGCACTCTGATGAAAAGCACGCACTAGGTCAATCTTAGAGAAAACCGCTTTGCTGAAAAGGGGGCAACCAAAATCCAGAAAATGAGGACCTTGGTACCGATCAGGAATAGTAGCGCTGTTGTGGGCACGATAGTCGCCACAGTGTCTCCAGTCGCCTGATGTCGCCTTGGGCACCATGTGCAGTGGAGATGCCAAAAGTCTCTGGGACGGTCGAATTATTCCCAGTTGCAGCACGTGTTCGAACTCCGCCTTCGCGGCCAAAAAACGCTCCGGTGCTAGTCGTCTCGGCCGAGTAAACACGGGAGGACCTGAGGTGTGGACGTGTTGCACAAAATCATGTTGAACCACACCACCGCGAAACTGCGAGTTAATTATTTTGGGGTGATTAATCAACAGTTGCCGAAAAGAACTAGCAATATCAGTATCCAAGACAAATAAGCTGTTGGGGGCAGTAAAGGGAGTTAGTCCGCGAACAATCAGACACATAATTAAGTCGGAGAATTTCTGCCTTTAACGCGGAGTAGGGAGCATCTGCGGTAGAATTGGCTAGCAAGGACTGAACGTGAGAGATAACACTAGCGGAGAGGACAGTTACAAGGTTTTGGTACTTCGCAAGCGCCTTGGTTACGTTGGCAGAATAAAAGGATGATACTATGTGGATGAAGTAAAGTTCTTGAGCGTGTTGCCATAAATCAGGTAAAGGTAAAATTGATGTCAGACGTCGTCCAATCAATGGAAAGGAGTGTGTGAAAACGTGATGGTGATGGTGTTGGCCGCTGCGGTCAATTCAGGGGTTGAAGCAGAGCCCATGTCGTCGACGGATGGTTGTAATGGTCGGTGCGGTGTTTACAACAGGTAGGAGAGTAGGAGAAGAAGAAAACTACGGCGCATTGGGTCCGGAGGTGTCTAACGAGACTGATGTGCGCGCGGAATGAGCATTGACAGTGCACGCATGGTGGGAGCGGCGGAGGTGAGACACTTTTGATTTGCGTGCCTCCCGTAGAGCTTTGACTGCAACGATCCGATAAGCTTCATAGACCGCTGTGCCAGTCTTCACTTCTCTTATTCAGACGGGAGATCCAGGTCAGGTTTTTTCTTTTCATGTGGGGGAGCCTGTCGGTGGGGGTGTCGAAGACTGTGGAGGGCAGCCAAAAACAATTCTGGATGACTTGGCCCATCTCTTCAGAATCTGCAATTTTTTTCTGCCCAACGAGCGCATCGAAGTCACTTAGGGCAATAAACTTATCGGCTATCGGTGCGGACGTCAGGTGATCCTAAGGCCTTCGTAAAGCCATCCATTAAACCAGACACTGTGCTACTCACACTCACTTCCGAAATCATTCTGACCTTGAACCTGTCTCCTTCATTACAGAATTGGTGGTCAGGCTTATCGAAATCACCGTCGTCACGTAAATGAAAATTTTGTTAATTAATTCGTGTGTTTTGACGATCCCGCAGCATGCAGAGTATCTGCGGTGCGCCTGAATTCAAATTACCGTAGTATCGTCTTTGGAGAGGCTCGTCGACACAAGAGGCTTTTAAAACACCCTGTTTAATTTGAAAGATCAAAGAAAGGAATGAGTGTAGATATAAATCACTACACAATGACCAACCGCGACCTTCTTCTTAGATTTGCGATAAGGCAACCACACCCTAATCTTTGGCAGGAACTTGGCATACGACCGTGAATATTAGGATTTATTTTCATATGGTGAGCAACAGTGTCATGAAATCAGTTCCAACCGCTGCTTCTTACGCCAAACTGGTTTTAATCCGTCGGCACCTTCAGTGCGACTTTAAATACCACAGCGAAACTGAGTTGGAGATGATGTAAGGAGAAAGGCGCTTAGTCGATAAGCTATTAAAAGAATTGTTTAACGACATCTAGCAACGCACTTTCAGTTTGAGAATCCAACTAACGTATGCTTGTAACAATGATTACCACCCATGGAAGGACGCTGGTTTTCAGATAAGCTTTTTTGGCCGCCTACAAAATCCGCGCTTTTTATAATGCTTAGTATATAATATAAAGTATTGGTATATATTTTGTATGAGTGCAGAAATTAAAATGCATGATGCAAAGTGCATGCAAAATCTTTTCGTTTGTATTGTTTTGGTAGCAAGTTACACCGCCTTGCAAATTATTTGCCAGCGGAGAAAGCGGCCGTCGGGTTTTAGAAATATTTCAATTGCCCAATAATTTTGACTACTTGCCGCTACACTGAGATATAAACTTAAAAGCTACAAACATTCTAACACGGAATATCACATATTTATAAAAGCCCCTAACTACAATTCATATAGAAACCATAACATTGTGCAATGAGTGTTGGTAATGTTGTATGTTTTATAGGCGGCACTCATATTCGGGCTTATGTTATGGTGCATAATTGGAAATTTTATGGCTACAACAAGTGCATAATAAGGGGCATTTCAACACAAAAATAAGACCCTTTTTAGGTAGAAAGTTTGCAAAAAGTCCTTTTCTGTCACGGGAACAGAAAAGGATATACTCTTGTACGTGTCTTCTATTTATTATATTAGACTTTCTAAGGACATGAAATAATGATAACAAAAAAAACTGATACGACATAAGTAACCGTTTCGGATGAAGCACGGATTTGACGGAAGGCCAAAAAGAAGCTCATTCAATGAAGATGTTCCAGTGCAACGAAAATAATTTATAATCATTCTGCGCAAACATTAATTTCACAAGTAACACTGAAAGAACTACTGACGCTTTGCACACAAAATGTCCAATTTCTGTGCAATGGTCAATTTTACAGGCAGGTATATGGTGTAGCAATGGGATTACCGCTTGGACCGTTCCTTGCAAATGTTTTTATGGGCAAAGGCGAGAAAGCAAGCTTGCAAGAGACCATTAATGGCCTCGTCTTCTACTGTCGGTACGTGGGCGATATCTTCTGCCTGGCGGATGGTACGACCGATACCGAGGAGCTTGTCCAAAAGTTCAACAGTGCGCACCCCTCGCTAAAGTTCACTGCAGAGACCGAGACAGATAACGAACTTGCCTTTCTCGATGTCCTTCTGCACAGGCAAGAGGATGGGTCTATCCAGCGCAGGGTGTTCCGAAAGAAAACCTGGACGGGACAATACGTTAATTTCCACAGTTTTGTCCCCCTAAACAGCAAACGGAATTTAGTCCAGGGATTGGCGGCTAGAGTGAGACGCATCTGCTCACCTGAATCTATTGAAGAAGAACTTCAACAGCTGCGGAACACACTTCGGGAGAACGGATACCCAGATAGATTTATCCTCTGAAATATTGGAGAACGTGTTGAAAAGCCCACTGTTGCGACTGCGGAAAAGAAAGATGTATTCATAAGATTGCCTTTTAGAGGAGACGCATAAAGCGAACTAGTCCGACGACCCTTAACTTCAGCTATCACGAGGGCATTCCCTGCGGCGAATTTACGCGTATGCTTCACAAACTCTCCCCTCCTACGTTTGGGAGGTAAAGACAGACTACCGTTGGAGGCCACATCAATGTGCATTTATTCATTCACTTGCTCCTGTGGAGCAGGATACATCGGCCGCACAACGAGACGCCTGGTAAAGAGGGTGCGTGAACATATGCCCGCCTGGCTAGACAGAGGTGAGACCCGGTCGATTTCGAGTTCTATACTCGCGCATTTAATCGAGACGAACCACCGAGTCGATGCCAAGAAAGCATTACTAGACGTTTAGGCCGTCACATAGAAGGAAGATGATCTTGTCTTCATTTGCGTCGACGAAACCGATGAGGTGCAAAAACACTCGTGCATCCTTTGTGGCGCAGTGTTTTCGAACGCAAAGCCGACGCCGTCTTAGCTGTTGTAACGTCTCAACAACCGACATTTTGGCGCAGATTTTGCAGGTCATGCTGGCGAATTATTGGAAGCTATAAGAACTCGACTTGACTTGCAACCAACTCTTCCAAATTAGGTTTATACCAAATAAATCCCTTATAGGTGTTTCCATACCGTGTGGCGTATAAGATAGCCAGATGCATGAAACTCCATACAATTGACGAAGAGTTCATATGGGCGCGTGCACTTGAAACTTCAACAAGCGACTTGAAACAAAGCTTATGAACTACGCTGAAACTACAGCCGTTATCAAAGCGTGTCACTCAATGTCCAATTAGTACAAATTAGCCAGCGAATTGCGTAGTTGATGTATGTTCATGATGGCGTCATAAGGAGAGATAACGTATTTTCTGCATACATTAAAGCCAGATCAATATGGTATTGTATCCGCTATTTTCTCTGATGATGGATTGAAGCAGGGATTGGAAAATTGATGCATATCGTAGGCTCTGATTTCTCCATTTTATTAGCAGTTTGTGGCGACGAATATAAGAGAGTGTAATGATTACTATGTGCCGTTTGTCCTCATTTCCACCTCTGCAACTGATGATGTGCAAAGACCCTCGCACATGCTTTATGTGTTGTCTTTATGTATGCAGAGTAAGGTCATCTAAGCTTTTTGAACATATCAATAACCAGGATGTCGGTGAAGATTTTGCAGGCCGTGATTTTGAATAACTGG